AACTTCCTACTCCCTCTTTCCCCTCAAGCAGGATACACCCATGATCTCTTAAAGGAACTGTTTTTTTTTTTTTTTTTTTTTTTTTTTTTTTTTTTACCTGTTTATATCCTGGAGCCCGTAATAGGTGCAGTCTTTCAAATTCTTGAGATTTCTCAAGCTTCCTTTCCCATTTTCTCCTTTCAGAGTACTAGCATCTCTTCATGGGTATAATCTCTTTAATAACTATATCTTTCTTGGCTTCTGTTTTGCAAGTACTTTTCTGGTCAAATTGCAAGTTTCTAAAATTCTTCAGCTTTGCTTTTTGCTTCTGATTCACACAGTACACTTGGCTAAAAGCTGATGGCAATATCCATGCYACATCCTGGATGCTGTGCTGCCTTGAAATTTCATCCACTGGATTAGTTATTCCATCACTTTTAAAATCAGCCTCACACGGGCTGGGATTGTGGCTCGGCAGTAGAGCGCTGCCCTAGCATGGGCGGGACCCGGGTTTGATTCTCAGCACCACATAAAAAAAATAAAGGCATTGTGTTGTGTCCATCTACAAAAAAAAAAAAAAAAAAAAAAAAAAATCAGCCAAGTGCCTTGCCAGAATATAACCCAAGAGTCCTCTAACCAAATTCTCAGTAGAGTCCTCATTTCACTCCTAAACCTCTTTAGCACAGTCTGCATTCCTATCAGCCTCCTGGTCTTCTGAGCTCCCACCAGAATCACCCACTAAATTTCACTTACAACATTTTTAAATGTTTCCAGCCTGCATCTTTAAAGTTTTTCAAACTTTTTTTTTTTCCCCACAAACCAGCTCTAAATTCTTCTGTACCACAAGATCAGGTTAGTCACAGCAATGACCCCATCTCTRGGTACCAATATCTGTATTGTTAGTCCGCTTTTCATCTATGTGACCAAAATAGCTGACAGAAAAAGTTATAGGAGAAAAAGTTAATTTTGGCACACGGTTCCACAGGTGGGCCACCCATCATGGCAGAAGGGTGTTGTAGAAAGAAAGCAGCTTACCTCAAGGTGTCCAGGAAGCAGAGACAGAAAGGGAGTAAGGGGAAGTGCCCCAGAGAAGATGAACTCTCTCCTGGCAGGCCTCCCGTCACCCATCTTCTCTAGTCCCTCCCGCCTATAGTTACCACCCAGTCAGTCTTTTCAAATGGGGCAGACTGTTTAGGTTCCAGCTCTCACAGTCAATCATTTTACCTCTGAAAATCCCCAGATWAACATAAGAGATTTTGAGGGATACCTCATATCCAAACCATAACAGTTTCTCTTCCAGAGATTAAAGATCTGCTCMTCTGATGTCAGGACACCCTACCAGGTGTCTGTGTGATTGCTAGTGTTTGCAGGGCCTGCCATGACATTTGTGAATTGTAGGTACTCGGTTAATTTTTTTTTTTTGGCACATAAATACTTCTTTATAAAACCTGATGCCCGTTAGGATTTGAGGATCATTCTTCCCAATGGCAACCTCTCACCTGAGTTGTGTCGGTTTCACACTACTTCTTGCTCTTTTCCGCATGCTTTATTTTGGTCTCCCTTATTATTTCATGGTGATCCTCTATCCATCAAGTTACTTGCTGGGATTATAGTCATTTTTTTTCTAAGCTCCACTGTATTTTTTTTTTATAATTATTTCTACCCTATTTTCTCYGAGTTTTTAAAATTTTTCTTTTTTTGTTTTGATATTATTTGGGGGGTATAATTTTAACCTTAGGAAAGTTTCAAAAATAGTACACATAATTTCTATGAACCTTTACCCAGATTTACCACTTGTTTATATTTTTTCCCATTTGTGTTTCTTCTTCCTCTTCTTCTTCTTCTTTTTTTTTTTTTGCTCTCTCTCTCTCCCTGTCTCTCTTTCCTCCCTCCCTTTCTATTATAGTTCTTTTAAAACTATTTGACAAGTTTCAGATATCATAACGATAATTCCAAAACACTTCATTATTTATTTCCTAAAAATGTACAACATTCTCTTATATAACTATAGCACAGTTATTAAAATCAGAAAGCCAGAATATTGAGCATATATGCTGCCCTATCACCTCATCCATAGTCCATAATCAAATGTCATCAATTGCCCTAATAATTGTCTATATTTAAATTTTGTTAAGTCTCCAATAATGTCTTATAGYTTTCTTTATATGTTGGTCCAGAGTCCAATTCAGGATCATGTATAGAGAAATTTCAGCACTACACTTGGGACACATTTTTAAACAATAAAATCAACAGCAAAAAAAAAACAAAAAAAAAACCATAAAAATATGAGAGATGCAGCACTAACTAGACTGTAAAAGAATACCTGTTTATAGTATGAGGGCTGATATAACAAAGTGCTGCCCTTTTCTACYTCGGCTGGAGATGCAAACTTTGGGAAACTCAAACATTTTCTTGCTCTGTACATATCTGCAAATGAGCACAAAAATTCTGTAAATATTGCTTTTGGGGTTACAAATGGATTTTAGTGAGTGAGTGGGGAAATTCACAAATGTGGAAAATACAAGTTTTGAGGATGATTGTATTTGAAACTGTTATTAGGCCCATGTWAGTTTAGAATTATTATCTCTTCCCAGTGAATTTAACTCCCCAACAAGAAGTGAACTTCCCATCTYTAGTAATGCAATTTACCTTAAAGTTTTTTATGTTGGTATCCATTCTACTATATCAGCTTTCTTTGAATTAACATATGTCAATCCTTTTTATACTCAATATTCCTATGTCCCTATGATTTTTTTTATTGTGGTAAAAATGGCATAACACAAAATGTACATTCTTAACTATTTTTTAGTGTATAATATAAAAATKTGGAGTACTTCATAAAATTACTTGTCATTCTTTAGCAAAGGCCACATTAATCTCCTTCATTATCCTTTCAGTTTTAGTATACTTGCTACTGAAATGGAGCACTGTACTTATATTTTAAATGTGTCTTTTAAAAATTATTTTTTAGTTTTAGGTGGACACAATATCTTTATTTTATTTCTATGTGGTGCTGAGGATCAAACCCAGTGCCTCCTGCATGGTAGGCAATCACACTACCACTAAGCCACCACCCCAACCCTTAAATGTGTCTTTTATAAGCAACTTTTGAATGRATTGAAGAAATAACACCATGAAAAATATCCAACCTCAGTTCTTTAACTGGAAATTTTAGTGATATTATAGATGTTGTCATTATTAAATACTTGGGTTCATTTCTTATTTTGTACTTTGKTTTTCTCACTTTTACTATATTCTAAATATAAAAATGATTTTTAGCTATTGACCCAATGTATTTTATAAGACCAATCATATCTATTTAAAAACCATGTCAATGTCTTTTCTTATAGTATTTATGCTAGATATTTGAGCATGAATATTTTATTTACTAAGAGTAGGATTGGACCAGACTGAGACATTTGAATACTGCTCATATTCAAATTTGGAGTTCTAAGGAACTGTATTATTTCTGGAGAAGTGTTTAGTGATCATTTTTCTGTTGGGTWTAAATGCTGTAATACATGGCATGAGAAGCAGAGAGGGGTTTTCCAGTGCAGTTATTCTGTGTGCCTACTTTGAAGAAACCACTTTYTTTTAACTATTCTTCCATTGGAGAATGGTTCTCTCTTTGAAGACTCTGAGCCTAAGATTTGTGACAGTGGTTTCCTCTTATATTTCGTTTCCTCCATATTGTGTTCTGCTTTACAACTTCATTCAACTTATTTCATCTTCAATATGTTTGTCTCATGACTCTCTGTTTTCTTTTCTTTACTATAACAGATTGATTCATTTAAAAACCATCCTGTGTTTTAACAGAGCCAAATAAACTGACTTAGTCTTCAGTCTTAGAGAGTTGATATTTACTTAAAGTGTTATCATTTTATCTGATTATAAAAGTAAGAAGGTAGTTTTTATTAAACTTTGACTTTTAGATAAATTATAGAGAAATTTAAAAATCAACCCATCACCTAAAACCTCAAGATAAAGGTTTACAGTAATTATGTATTTCTCTCAATTGCCAATCATCCATCTATCTACCTATCTATCATCTATCTATCTATTTATTTATCTGCCCCAGGAATCTGGGCTAAGCCAGAGCTCTGTTCTGAATCTAAGTTCAGGTAAACATGTATGCTGACTATCTTAAAATTTTAATTTCATAATAAATAAGAATATTGCTTTGTGCACATTGAAAAATGAATTTTGTCTCTACTTCTTCTCCTATACAATGGAAATAATAATGCCTCATTAGAGAATCGTGAACAATAAGTGAATGAACACATGTAAAATGCTTAGAAGAGTGCCAGGCACAAAGCACATTTTATGATTGTTATACATTTTTATCCCTCTATCCATGTGATTTCAAACGGTGCTACCATTTTTATATGATTTTTGCTGACTTGGTCATAGTAATTGGTCTAGGCCTAAACACTTTACTAAGTGGGAACAGCCAAGTGATGGCTGACCTGRTAATTAGAAAAGATGAAGAAAGGAAATTCTCATGGTATTTAAAACCAGGGTTCGATTGTTCTTGAGACTTTGTGCACCCATTGTGCTTTCATAGCTGAAGTTCCTCCCGTAGCTGTTAGTTGAGCCAAATCCTCTTTTGCTCATGTCCCTCCAATTTAGTTTGTTCAAAGAGTAAAACTAACAATCTTCAGGAACACATTTATTTTCCCAGATGTTAACAGGGACACACATTTATTTAACAAATAAATATCTCTATCACAAACATTAGGCGTTTTACATGTAATATACACATTTGATCTTTATCATCGTCTATAGTTAGGTATAATTATCTCCTCTTAATATTTAAGTGAGCTGTGACAGAGAAAGTTTAAGAAACTTAATTCCAAATCAGTCAGTCAGCTTCAGAATCCATGTTCTCAACTGCTATGCCACGTTGACATGTATTTGCTGGGTTGACTGTATTTTAATTTGCAGTGTGTGGAGGGAATAGGTTCCCTGGATAGAATTCACACAGAGAAGAACTTTATAAACAATACATGTTTCCTCATCRGGTCTCCATGCTCTCTCTCTCTTTCTTCTCATACACAGTGAGAAGAGATGAATAAGTAAACTTGGTCTCAATCAGGTAAAATCATTCTGGCTCWCATTTTCATGTCTTTATTTTCTCCTTTTGTTCAACCCTTCCTGGAGCTGGCATCCAACTGCATGAGCATGTTCCCCAGGTGAGTTTCTGTCTCCAAAGTGGGTTTAGAAAGAACCAACTCTCTGTGGTGTCTCCTTGCCTGCCCTGTGGTATAGGTGACACAGGGCAGCTCCCCCTCAGAACAAGCTCGCCATGTGGTTTCAAAGCCCATTTGTCATTTCTCTGATCTAGGTTTTACCTTCCTCTGCTTCCATGAGGAAATAAGCTTCCTGTGCTAGGGGACATAATTTGTGACAAAACAARCTTTTTTTTCTAAAATATCATTACCCTTACTTTAATAGGACCATTGCAGTTTTCTTTGGGTCTGCTTTTGCCTGCAGTGTTTTGTTCATCTTCAATTTTTCCATTTTTTGTCACCTGGCTTTAGCAATTTTCTTTTAGGAAAACATATAGCTTTTTATTTCAAATCCAGGCTGATTATTTTGCTTTTCGATGGCCAGGGTGTCCATGTGTTCTTTTTTCCAAATGATTTGGTGAGATCTTTGGATTTATAGTCTGAAGTATTTTTTAAAGTTCCTATTAGTGCATGGTAGTCATACATAGTAGTCGGGTTCATTTTGACATATTCATAACTGCATTTAACATAACTGGCTCCATTTTAATCCCCAATACTCCTCCCACCCCATCTGCCTCCTCTACTCTATTGGTCTTCTTTCTATTTATTTATTATTCTTTTAATTGGTGCATTATAGTTATATATAAAAGAAGGAATTATTGTAATATATTCATAATGCAAATGGCATAATTTKGTCAATTTCATTCTATAGTTCTTTCACTTTCCCATCCCTCCTTCCTCCCCTCGGGTCCACTTCCTSGACTCCACCGTTCTTCCTTCTATTTTCATGCGATCCCCCTTTTTAAAATTTCCTTCTTTTTCTAAGTGAAATAAACCAGAATCAGAAGGTCGGGGGCCTTAAGTAAGTTTAACCTCAGAAAGATTATTTTGATATGTTTGATTTTTCATTGTATATTCTATTTTTCTTGCTTTTTCTTAGGGAACCTGTTTATTACACTAGCTCTCTATTCTTAGTTCTTTGTGTGAACCTTAACCTTACTCTTTTAATACCTTTATTCTTTGCCTTTACTTTATAAAAGGATTTGTCCAAATTTCCTTTTCAGTACCCATTGAATGATCTGTGTTGACTCTACTTTCTTCTTCCTCTCAGTGAACTTTAATTGTTCAATATGGTTGAGATTCTTTGTGGTCTACAGCCAGATTTTTCCTGTGTCTCTGCTGTTTGTGGTAGTCCTTTCCCTTTTGTTATATATAGACTATGTTCTCTTGAGCATCTCTCAGAATTTTATTTTATTTTATTGTATAAAATTATTTTTAGTGCTATGTACTTCTTCCAAGACTTCAGGGCAGAAAACCTCTTTTATCCTTATTATAAATATCTTTTCAAAAATCCCTTGACAAAAGACTGCTTCATCCACTCACTTATGAAAACACATTATCATTTCCCAGCAGGTGGATAGGTGATGGATATGGTGGCTTTAGCCTCTTTCAGTGTTCATTTGCATTCTGGCATCTAGCCTTGAACGGTGCTTTTGTTTTCTCAATCCTGAGCTCTTTGTCAAGCACCATGGCCACTCATCTACTGAGGCACAAGAGAATCTCACCTCTGCTTGGTAAGTGAGTCATGTTCCATTAACTGTCTTGCATTATGAATGAGGAATGTGGAAGACTGTCTGACAGTAATGTTAGCAGGGATTCCATCTCTGCTTCTAACATTATTCCTTACAATACTCAACAACCCTGTGTGCACTGTGCAAAACCATACAGTTCTACTACCTTCACTTTATATACTGAGAGGTTACTCACTTTATATACTGAGAGGCTACTCCCTGTCTGGTTTCAGAAAAAAAGACCCAAGTGGGGAGTGGCTGAGAGGAGGAAAGGTTCTGGGTTAAATGGCTCATAAATCTAATGCAGTTGAATCAAATCTGCTTTTTTTTTTTTTAATGATTAGTGTAGCCCCTGCATCTCAGAAGTAGTAGTATGAAGCTGGAATTAGTAAAAATATTTTCTCTAACAGTTTTAGAGCCTTCTAATTTTCTGATGAGGTTTGTAGAACATAATTTTTTGCTTCTTGACGTCTAGTACATGTTCACTGACTGATATCATTAGTAAAATGTGGCTCAAGTAAGAATGTGGCATTCCMTAAGCTTTGATTTATAATATCTTTCTAAGTTTTTGTCATTTTATGTCTCTATGTGGACCATTAGTACAATACTTTACTTCTCTTCTGATAAAATGTTCATCTGGGAGAATTATCATCTTGTCTTTATACCCTATCTGACTCTATATAAATATAGATCACCTTCTTTCTGAGGGATATAAGACCTAAATAATGAGAGAATGTATTTGGAGAATGGTTGGATATATGGAGTTAATAAATCTATTGTTTGGTAAATTTGTCTAACAAAACAATTGTGTATCTATCAATCTACCTACTATCTAATGTCAAAAGTTTCAAAAGCCTATTCTGGGGTTAAGAACACAGCCAAAAAAAATCCAGGGAAACTGGCTTTCATCTCACATTATACCATGGTGTTAAAATGCCTAGCTTTTTGGTGTTACTTCAAGTGTATAGAATGGAGTAGTGAGAGCTAAGTTTGCTGAGGCAGGATGAAACCATACTTGCTAAGCAAGTGTTTGGGCTTTACTCTACTGGCCGTGTGGAAATAGTGGAGGTCATGAAGCACCAGAATGATTTTCTTCAGATCTGTGTGTCAGGAATTTAGAAACTGAGGT